CATGTGATTTTGATAAATTACTTTTTTTTTCTTCATGTCAGTGCTACTGATGTCTTACAAGTTTTTGGTAACCAAATGTTCCTGCCCTGTACAGCAAGGTCTGCTAATCACCGACCTGCAGAAAGCTCTGTGTCCACTGGCTCGTCAGCCAGTAGCTTTGGCAGTGGATACAGCATGGATAGCGAAGGCAGCAGCAGTGCCACGGGAGAGAATAACCTATTTCCCATCCCCAGAATGTAAGGTTTCTCCATTCCTATATTGTATCCTCCATTTTAGCACAATTTATAGCACTTTCACTGTGCCAGTCATCTTCTCATGCAGTTTCCTCTGCAGACTTGAGTTATGCAGTAGAATGGCAGCTAAAGGGGGGATTTCCCCACAGTTCACACTTTTATTCTGCTTTGTTGAGCATTGGAAATGTTAATGACCAATCAAACCTCTTCCTCAACCTTGTGAATTTCTTCCTGTCATGTAGGAGATGTGCTGGTCTCAGCCCTTGATGAATGTGTGTAGAGATGGGGTTAGTTTATGTTTATAAGTACAACTATTGTAGGATTGAGAAAGCTTAGTTTAAATTTTCAGATTTTCCTCCCTCTGTAAAGAGATGTTACTAGTGCAAGGGGAATTCACATTCTGGATACACCACAGCTTTTCCCAAGTTTTTAGGAGTTTCAAAAGAATTTCTCAGTTCTTGGCTGGAAAAAGGTTTTTGGTACAGAGTCCCTGTAGGAATTATCAAGCTGCTATCAGTGCAATGACTCTATAAAATGATTTAATTATCCAAAATTTTTAGTACTCCACAGAGAAAAGTTTTGCCAGAATTTTTTCATCTCCTCTATCAGCATGCACCATCCTTTATCAATTTCATTTATATTCCCTAATAGGTCAAAGTAACTTCTGATCAATTTAGTGATTCTGTCCTAAAAAGTTTACAGATTGACTGTTCTCAAAATATTAGTTCGTGTTCATTGTTCATTCATTGTCTGCAATAGTTGATCAATATTTTCTCTGGAACAAAAAATGTTTGCTTTTTCCTTGAAGTTGTGAACTATTAGTCGTGAAAGATATAAGCTTCCTAGAAAAACTTGAATGAAGTGAAAATTCTCTAGAACTGTGATATTTCTGAGTATTTATCATTTAATAAATAAAGTACAATGGTATTTGTCTACATCTTGTTAGTAACTAAAGGGAAAATAGAGATAAATCTAAGACTTCAATCTCACCTTCAGAATCTAGCAGGATTATGTGATTTAGATTGTAGGGTGCTAATTGTTTGATTTGCATGGGATTTTTCACTCATGTTGTTTGAAGTTAAAAGGGGAAAACAAAGATGAACTTTGACAAAATCAAAATCAAAAGAAAATTATTGGGCTGTCATTCCTAGTGAGAAAAGAAAAGATACATAAAATCTATGTGCACAATAACACAAGATGGAGCTCTCAATAGAAATTTTCTGTTCACACATGCCAAATTTGAGTCCAAACAACATCACTTACTGTGTATTGACTGGCAATGTGACAGTGCCTACAGTTCCTTGCTATTTGTGTGACAGACTCATTGGTCTCTTAAGCCTGAAATCAGCCCCACTTCTACTGAAAAGCAGGAGGAAGTCTCCACAGCCTCAGATTTTCTCATAAAAAATTTGTTCTCATGAATTATAGTTAAGTATATAAAATATATCCACGTCTCATTTTTTGTAAGGCCACTTTTTTTTTTTTTTATTATGGCATTTTAAATTAAGTTATTTATATGCTTACAGAGTATTTAAAATTACACAGAAATCTTTTACAGACAGGACCTGCTTCATTTTTCATGTTAGCTCCCCAGGGCTTTACATAGCAGTGCAAGGAAAATGAATGACAAAATAACTGTTTAGCATCAGATCATTCATGGAGAGAATGTTTAAAATAGATAACTGTTTCCATTTTAAATTCTGTAAAAAAATTCTTATTTATCTGAATATATGTATAATTTTAATTCTACTCATCATTTGCACTCACACTGGCTTGATAATGACTTCAGGGACTCAGACCTTGTACACTAATTCAGCAAATCCATAAGCACACAGCTTACAATTTGGATGTGAAGTATTAAGAGGGCTAAATATTTTTAAGTATCTTGGCATTTAAATTCTCTTTTGATTATAAGCTCCCTGCTTAGACTAAGTTTCTGGTCTATCAATAGAAATTGTTGGGTATGCTGAGTTTTACGCTCTTTGTTTTAGTCCAAGTGCTTTAACCATAGCAACAATTAGTCTTGAAGCAAAATAAAATAATTAAATTGTGACACCATAGGAATTGTTTGATGAGGTAACTAATTAGAATACTTGCCAATATTAAGTAGCTATAATTATCAAGGGAAATTAATAATTATTATACAGTTACATCAATCTGAATATATCTTGTAAATTCTTTCTAATTTGGTTTTTTTTTTAAATACTCCTATTATCCAGTTGTAATATTTTTGAAAGCTACTCATGTTCTTATCTCTGATAAAGACCAGATTCTCTATGCTTTTGTGTTGTGTAACACTTTATAGCAGTATTATTGGCTGTAAAATAAAATACATTTTGAATGCAAAGGTGAAAACCAATTTAATGATGTATAATGAATATAACCCTTGGGAGAAATAATTCTTGTATCATATTTGTAAGGATTTATGAAGCATTATCTACAGAAGAAGGAAATAGCTTTCAGTTTAAACTCAATACAGAATCACTTGAAAAACTGATTTTATACTAATTTTTTTGTTCCCTGTGAATTTGGACAACTTCACACATGAAGTTTTCTTCTCACAGGTTGACACTTTTCTACTCAGGTAGACAAGAACAGTGCTGACCCTTTAATACCCAAGAAATCACATGCAACTGAAGATAATGCCTTATAGTGTCTATCACAGCAGTCAGAGTCTTAGGGCAAAAAGGAAACTAGAAGCACAAATGTTTGAGAGTGATTTTAATCATGCCTTTGAGCTTGCAACAAGTATAATTAAAGATAGCTTATATTTAACTTTCATTTGGTAAAAGTAGTTATTAAGATTCTAATGAAGGTTCTTTGTACACAAAATTCAGGAAAATAGTGAACTCTAGGTCATGATTTATTCCACTCTGTTTAGGATTAATGTTAAGTTTTCAGAATTGTTTCTTATGCTTAATCTAAACTATAAAGTAAAGCAATGATTTAAGAAGATGACAACCACAAACCTTACCTTTGAAGTAATTGAATTGGTATGGTAGACCAAATATCAATTTTTATGACTGCTTATTATTTATTTCACTTTTGAGTATGACAAGATATAGTGAGAAGAGATTTGTAGCCCCAGACTGATGTGGGGCAGGTAGCAGACAGCACCTGATGGACCCATTCTGTAAGAATGAACAGGCTTAGCAAGATGTGATTGCAGCTGCCTTCAAAAGAGAAAAAATATAATATTCTTAAAAGAACCAAGCCTCATTAGCTTAGATATATCATTGTTTTAGCTTTTATCTTTCTATGGTTTATTGACAACAGCAACCATACCTTTTCACAGAGGGAAGATGAGCCAGAATGGACAAGAACCAGTGAAGCAGTCGGGAGTGGGAGTGACTGATTCAGAAGGTAAAAAGAAATACAAACAGCTCCACAATGGTACCCCATCTTTTTAGGAAGGATGTGCCCATTTCTTTGGCTTGTCATGCTATGAAAAATTAGTCTATGCTCTCTTTGTATTGTAGATTAAAATCCTGACTTTCATTTTCTCTAGGGGTCCTTTAGACAGAACTCCAGTGTAATGATTCTTCAGTTTAAATGAGAATGGGGCCCTACCTGTATATTTAAAGTAATTAAATAGTTAGATTGCAATGAATAATATATAATAATATCTGTCTTCTGATGTTCATTGCTTTTCAAAGAAAACATACAAAGTATGGAGCAGACTCAGTGCTCAGTGGATTCGAATAATATATATCTAATTCGTATCAGGCTCTATTTATATAACATTTCAGAATATTTACTTCATAAATTAATTATTAATATTAGTTTTTACATAAAACATTAATTTAAAATAAAAATATTAGCTGAGCAGGTTTGACTGCTGCACTTAATGCAGATGAACTATAATGAAACATTTATTGGATTGGGAAATCCTGAGTGATTTTATTTTGGTATTAATGTGGTGCTGAGAAATAAAAAGACACTGTAATATTGGAGCTGGAAAGCACCAGACAGAATGACTTTCAAAATTTCATAGGGAATGTGGTTATCTTTTTAATGTGTAATAATGGAAATAGACATGAAAATGGAGAGTGTTTTGTACTAAAGGACATTTTATGAAAATTACATTTCCCTTTACATATGAGGTATATTCTTTCAAGTGTATGTTTATATTGACCTTAAATATAAAACTTAACAACCATGACCTTCATTTTATTATTAAAATAAGACCTTTTTCATTTAGATGCATTTCAATGAAGCTTGGAGTATCAATTAATTAATAAATCAAAATTTATATTTATAATTGATAAATGGACCTTAAGCTTAGTCATTTAAAAAAATCAACATTTTTCAGGTTTCCAGAATCTCTATACATGAGAAAATAATTGCTGGTTCTATATTTGAGTAAAAGCATCTAATGTTTCACAGAGCTGAAGAAATCAAATTAGAATTTACAGGTAGATCTGAAAAGTTCTCTTTTCCAAAACAAGAATTCTTACTCGTATATATGCATTTTACTAAAAATTTCCATACATAGTACTCATTAAAAAATACTTAATAATTTGCTTTATCAAATATCAAATATGAAATACTTTAATAGTCTTCCTATCAAAATTGAATTTTTCAATATTATATTTAAGCATTAAAAAAAATCTGTTTTCTAAAAGAGAAATGATGGGATGAAAATGGGAAGTTGGGAATTTTTTATTTTTATTTTATCATTATGAGTTTTATGCAGATTTATAATTGTAAAAAATATATTTTCATTATCTTGTTCATCGTAAGTTGCCCCTTGGGTTATATCTTGCATCCTAAATTTCAGAGCCTAAAAATACAAAATATTTTCATTTCTTATTGGTGTTATTAATTAACGCCAAACCCAAACAAATCCAAGTAACAATAAACCAAACAATACCCAAACCACCTTTTGAAACATTCTGAAAGATGTGTGTGTAACGTTTGGTCTGAAATTACCTTTCCAAAGTTATGTTTCTTCTTGTCTTCAAAATTTGCAAATGACTTAAGAGCTGCAATTTCCTAATTTTCTCTTACAATGCAATTCACCTCTGCTACCTTGGGAGCTCTAAGTGTTACAACTCCTATTCTGATAAAATGACTGGTTCTCATTGAGTGTTTTTTGCCATTGAGAGAGGCTGGTGCAGTCAGCCTGGATTTCAGTGTCTGATTTCCAGCCGACTAAGAGGGGAAAGGTCAGTTTAAAAGGATAAGTTAAACTAAAAGCTGGAAAACAATCAAGAGCATTTGAGTTTCACCATGTAAATGTAATTATGTTTTGGGAAAGTAGTTCAGAATTTAGAGGAACTTACTATTAACTGAGAATTACTTCAGAATTACAGATTTATTTTGGCATTCTTTTTATAGATGAATAAAAGAAAACTACAATCTTAAAACCATGCATTTTCTTTAGTTCACTTACCTGTGTTTTGGACCAGATGAGCCCTGGAGTTAAGTGGAAGCAAATATTCATTCCCACTTTTCATTAACTGTACAGATTTCCCATAGCTGGTATTTGTACTCTTATTTGCAAATAATGACTTAGAGTTACATGTAAAACTTTTTCATACTGGTACTCTTTTTTTTACATTTTCAGACATTCTTAGGGCATAACTTCTATAAAAAGTAGCCTTGGGTTAATCTCTCTAAAATGGTGAAGAACAAATTTGATTGATTGAACACGCAGTTCTACTGCTGTGTGAAATGTTTTAGTCATCCAAGTCATCCACACAGGCCTGACAAATCTGGCAGGGGACTCAGAGGATCTTTAAACCAGTAGATGCAGGCAAAGAAATGTGAGATACTAAAATGACAATGAGAATTGGTTTCTGGGTGCCTGAAACCAAACTGTAGCAACAGGGCTTGAGTTCAGCTCATGGGGATATGACAACAGAATTTAGGCAATTACATAAGTGCAATCTCCAGAGAACACATGCTCATTTTGTAATTGTTTGCCCACATGTGTTAATGTTTTGTTGGGAATAGTTTTTGTGCTATTAACATATATCAGGATAGTTTTAAGTAAATATTGGAAAAGAGTGCTAATTACTTTGCTGGCATGACCAAATGGTCAATATAAACAACTGTGATCCTGTCTATGATAATCTTTGTTTCTCTGAATATATTCTCTTCTCATAGTCTGTATTTTTGTACTACTTAATAATATAAAAAAATCAGAGTTTTGTTCTTGGACACTGTATTAGTTATTTTTATGATATGCATTGTTGCATGCTATCTTACTGTGGGTATTCTGCCCTGAGCAGATGAAATACTTCATCTTCTTAAGCTTCAGTGAATCTTATTATACATATTGTGGTCTCCATTAAGTTATGCAAGCCAATTTCTGTAATTGTTTCAGAAAGTGCAATATACCTTGTTCAAAGATTTCTTATAACATGGTTAAAGTATTACAGACATTATAAAAAACTCAATTTCATCCATGTAAAGATTGAAACTAATAATTAAAACCACATTATTAATATCTTGATTCAGTTGTAGATCATGATTGGTATATCTGTCCTGTGAAGTTGCTCAGTTGCTCAATAAGCTCCAGATGGTATTTTCCACCTACCAACCATTTATCCATTTAAAAAATATATGGGGAAAATATTTCCATACATTTTATAAGGGTGAATTTGCTAGGTAATCCCAAGATGCCATTTCTTCTAACAGGAGAAAGATATCTAGATATAAATAGCATTGTCATGGAAATGTTGCATCTTCTCCTGTTGAAGATTCTGTATATGTGCAAAATATCATTCCTCAATCATTCCTCAGTCCTCAGCCACTGAGGTTCATCTCAAGCAAAGAGTCTTTTAGGAGTATGTCAGAGTCTTTTCTGAGTGAATGAGAACTCACAGTGCTTCTGTCATCCTCTGTGGCTGGCCTTATTGTTGTGAGGATTTTCAGTCAGAAAATTGTAATCTTTCTACAAGATCAGTGGAGCACCTCACCCAAATCTTCCAAGACAGTAAGGTTTTCCTACCTTTCTTTTTTCTTCTTTTTTTTATTACCCTCCAGTCCATGTCCCGAATACCAAAATCTTCTGTTCGCTGTCCAGCCATTTCTCAAAGGTTCACTTTACGGCCTTTCCAATGGTCCTTTGAGACTCATACTTTGAGTGTAATTAAACAACGTTCTCTGAGTAAGAAACTGTCTCCCTCTACAGTTGATTGAACCTGAACAGAAATTTTCAGAATGTTCTAGTAAAGGTCCAGTAAATATATTCCCATAGGACAACAGAAGGAATAGATTTGTATTAATTCAAAGTCTAAAGGTGCACACATACTTACTGAATTTCTACAAAATTATATGATAGAGATATGTTCTCATTTAGTATACTTTGGTAAACTCTTGCAGGAGTTTTCCTTTTTTAAATTTATTTTTGGTCATGCTAGTAATTTGCCTAAGTTAGAGATTAAAGGAAATAAAAACAACAAAAAACAAGCACAACAAGAAGAAGCTCCAAACATACTTTGTGATCATATTTTAACAGGCAAATTTTACTGTGGACTTAATTGCATCTATTCAGAGTAGTTTAAGATTAAAAAAAAGCTTTTTTTCTTAATTTTTGAGCTCTGTGGTTCATCAGCCAAAATAATAAACAAAGAAATACAGAATGGTTTAATTTCTTATCACTGTATTTCAATAATATAGGCAATCTAATCTTTATTTATGACAAAAAATTGTTAAAATTCTACAGAAACCTTTAAACATGCCAGGAAGTCATTCTAATAAGATTTTGGAAAGGTGCATGACCCTCTGAAAGGGAATAATTTGACTTGTAAATGTTCCTTTATAGCTTTTTGAACCCCCCTAGTCAAATTTTCATCCATCCTTTCTGCACAGAATAGACCCTGGAGCAAATTGTCTTGCAAACTGTTTCACACTGTTTCTCCTGAAGAGGAGCACCCAGGAGTGATAAGTGGATTATCTCTCTTGAGTAAAACAAGGCATGAAACAAACTGACAGAATAGGCACAGCTAACCAATGCCATATTCTTCAGAGTAATTAAAACTCAGAGAAAAGAATTCATTTTTATTTGCTCTTAAATGAGGCTAAAGTAACACTCTTTAAATCTCAGGATTCATTGTATTATGACTGAGAACAGGATGAGGGCTTGCTGCATCTCACATCTTAAACCAGCATTTTGATTTATTTTAAATCCCAATGTTGAAATATCAGAAGTATAATGTTATTCCTTATGAGGATATTCAGAGAAAAATGCCCTAATATTGGACCTCCAACTTGAAAGGTTTAGGAGGAGAAAAAGGGTAGATGAAGAAAGTTATTAACAGATAATTATGATACAGTTACTGAGATTTGCAAATGCTTTTGTATATGCACAAATCTATACTTTGATGTCTGGTTTGTCCAGGCTAAAAATAGCAGGTTTACTACAGGTGAGAAGATTTCTTACTTTAGAATTATCAGAGACAGAGCACCTTTCCTATAGAGACAGGCTGAGAGATTTGGGGTTGTCCAGCCTAGAGAAGACTGACGTTGTAGCTTAAAGTAGATAAAGAGGATTTACAAAAAAAGGAAAAAACTTTTTGCCAGGGCCTAAGTGACAATGGTTTTAAACTGAGAGTAGATTTACATTGAATTTGTGAGGCACTGGATCCGGTTTTCCAGAGGAGTGATGGATGCCCTAACCCTGGAAGCGTTCAAGGACAGGTTGAACACTGGGGGTTTGAGCAGCCTGGTCTAGTGGAAGGTGTCCCTGTCATGGGGTGGGGTTGATGATCTTTACAGATCCCTTCCAGCCCAAACATTCTATGACTCTTTGCTATGAAGGAGTTGACAAAGATTTTTGAAGGGCTCAACACACAAACTGCAGATATGCCTGCTCGGTGTAAGTGGTGTTCTGGGAGCTGCTGTCCATTCAGGTGTTTGACAGCTACAGAAGTAAAAACATTTCTCTCCTTCTTCTGTACCTTTGATTAGGAGCATCAGGCACCCACATTTCACACACTTCATCCAGTGTTTTGTTTTGAACAGATAGGTCAGCAACTCTGTGCCAGGAAAATTCCACTTTTTAGTTTCTTTTCATTGTTTCAACTACTGAAGCAACATGAGAATGTCACATGTACAGTACTGGGTAGCAAGAATCTGAGAACTGTTATTCCCAAGGAAAATTGCAAGTATATTTACATAGCATACAATGGCTCATTTTTATATTTATGTCAGGAAGTGACTGAATAGACAGAGGAACTGTGAATTCACATGCTGGAGTAGTCTTGAATTTACCTACAGATCATAAACTAGTACATATTAATTTTTCTTAAAATTTATTGAATTGAACTAAACTGAAAATTTTTATCTTCTGTAACATGATTCGTGACTCCTGGCAGTATAAATAACAGACAAAGAATAATATATAGAGCAGCAGTAAATGACCAAGTCAGAAGCAGTGACTTTCACCACGGTGGAGAATAGTTTTAGGTTTCTGGACTAAGGCTTAAACCAATTCCTTTTAAGACCTTTTTAGATTGGTATCTCAAAACCACAGAAAGCATCATCTATTTAGGTCAAATACTATCTTTGACATTTGAGTTGTGGGAAGGGACCACACGTCCCTTCCCTCAACTCAAATAATTCTGGATTTTGCTCATTTAATCCTAACATATACCAAAATGTATGAGAACCTGGAAAAAGTCTGGAATTTCAAGTATTTTTGTTTTAATCAAGAGAGTCTTTTACTGATTGAGTATGAGACTGCTGACTTGATTCTAATGGATATTGATCCATGGATGTAAAGAGAAATATAGACAATCTGAAATGTTACCAGCATTTTATCATCAGATTACCACTGACTTGAACAATGGTTGAATTGCATTTTTTTAGTTTTGAGTTCATGTCATGTACATAGCAAAAGAAATTGCTGCACATTCTCATTGTCTTTGCTCAAGAGCAATATAAACATGTTAATCTATTTTTAAAAACCCATTCTTAGTGTCTGTAATGCTTGCTTTTATAGCCCTGTTGCCCTTCTGATTTACATGTAGAAAATGTTTAGGTTTTTTTCAAAATAAAATATTACTGATTAAAATGTAATCCTTTCCCAGGAAGATATCTAATTAAAAGAAGAAGAATTGCCAAACTTCTCTACTATCCCTGTAAATAAAAGGGCTGAAATTCAACCTGACTTTGTTTAAACTGTCTTTAATATAAAATCAGAACCTTGCTTTCTGCCATTACCTTCTAACAAGGGTCTGCTACTACTTGACACTATAATTCTAATCAATTCTAACAAAATTTAAAGCAGAAAATACCAGCAAGGGTAATTTCTCACATGAGCAGCTGCTAAATTACAGAGCCAAAAAGGACATAAGGGAATAGAAAACAAGTACTGAAAGCACTTGCAGATAGCCTGCCTGCTGATTTTAAGAATTTAAAAGACCAGATACACTTTTCTGTCACAAGGGATCCTTAAGCAAATGAGTCAGGCCTATGCACTGGCAGTAGTCCTTACCCTCTCTCGTTTTTTAAAAAGAAATCTATATTTTATACATGTCCCCTTAAGCTAGGAATAGCCTTACTACTAATGCCTAAAACCCAAACTTAAAAAACTGAGTCAAGATAAACAACAGCAGCCTTATAAACCTAAGTATTATCAGCTTCCTCTCTGAACTCTGAGAAGTATTTTTTATCTATCCCCAATTGGCCCCCACATTCTAATTTCCCACCTGGCTCTCCAGTAATAATTGGAGCAATTAGTTCTGCCTTCCTGAGGTACTTGCCAGTATAATCCAGCTGGTTTTCCTAAAAAGAAGCAGAAAGAATTAAAATAAGAAAAAAGTTTACAGCCAGAGATAAAAAAATCGAGGAAAAGAATGACAAGTTCTGTATTATTGTATCCACATCACAAACAACTTTGATTTACAGTGTTACAAATCAACCTATTTCTGAACTGTCACGGTAAAGTGTCATCAAAAGAAAAGTAAATAATCCAGGGAGACTGTGCTTAACTGGTAGCTGGTCTGCAGTTTCTGCAGTTCTGAGTTCTGTATAATTTTGGCTAAAAGGCTATTAGAATTTAAATTATGTCTCAAGATAATTATAAAACAAAGTGGTTTTTTAAAGTTTTAGTTTTAAAAATTCTGCTTTCCCCATGGGATCTATTTAAATTTTTTAAAAAATTGCTAAGACAAATAAACAACAAAAAATCTGAAAAGCACAAATATTTATTCTGAAAACCAAAATATCACACCTTTGAAGTGATACTTCAGTAATCACCTGGAAAGTTAATTTGTTTGCTTAATATTATTAATAACTTTTATTACCCTAGCTTTTAAATACATTTCTCTTAACATAAAGCTTTTTGGAACTTTCAGAAAGCTTCTTTTTGTGACTTCTTGAAGTTGCAATGAGCTCAGGATGTTTGAGCTTGGAATCAGAATGCTAGTAATTCCATCAAAAATCTAAAAAATATATATAGTTTAATTTCAGAACTAAAAAATATTTGTAGAATTCTGGAACTTATCTCTTTTAATAAGATGTGGTTATGAAGGAAATCTACCTGGCACATTTAGTATAAATAACCAGTTAATAAGGACGACTGTCAACACTGGAAAGCAAGAAAAGGAATCCCCCACCAAAACTGAGTGAGGGGGAAGGTGCTGGAGTGTGTTTAGCTGAACCTGAGCCATGTCTGAAGAAGGGCTCCTTCATCTAGTGAGAAATTTAAAATAGAAACAGAGTCACTTTACATGATAAATGTTCATTTATGATCAGTAAAAGTCAGGTTGAGGCATTAATATGATAGAAGGTGAATTGCTAAATACTAAATGGTTTCTCTTCTGTCATGAACCTGAAACTAGTACTTAATGAGTAGGGCTTTTAAATGTCACTTTCCTGGAAAATTCAGGTGATCTCTTCTTTTCAGCACCATGATTAGGAATTTTGTGCATGTTCCAAGGGAAAAGAAGTAAGCAAAATAGATCTGTTCTAAAGTCAATAATATTCAATACTCAAATACATATAGACTATTCAGTATTATGAATTATGTTAAGGGGGCTTCAAAAGATCATCCCAACAATTCAAGGCACAATATTGTTCCTAAAAGGCTTTTTTAACTTGCACCAAAAATTCTTAGTATTGATAGAGATGTCACAGCTTCATTACTCTGTTCTATTGACTGATTATCTTAGTAACATGTTTTTCCTATGTTCTAGTCCAGTTGCTTGATGAAATTAATACTCAAGGACAGAAATAAGAATCCAAATCCAAGATCTTCCATTTATAAATATAGCATATTTTATAAAGCACTTCCTGTAAATGGATTATTCTAAGCTTGCCTACAAATGATAACACAGCTGTTCCTATGGAATAGTTCTGAACTTCAGAACTCTAGTATTAGAACTTCACTTTTGCTGTATTTATTTGAAAGGTTACAAAAACCCAAACCCAAGATTTTCATAACTTGTTTCTATACTAGAGAGCCCTTTATAGCTCCCTAATGTCTTAAGATTCTTATATTTTTTTTTTAGCTAATCTATAACTTAGAAATTAAACTATTATCCTGGGGATTCAGAAAAAAGGTTTTTTGTTTACCCTTCCATATTCTTGAATACAACCCTTTTTTTTGGACTGATATTCAAACTGTTACTTTGAAATGCTGTTTAAATGCAAATAAATCTAGAGCATTTCCAGGTGGGATCACATGGTAATCTAAAATTAAACTTCAGCTGATCTTCATTTTAGCATGTGAGAGTCCTCAAAATTATTGGACTGTGAATTGTGTTCCAAGAGAGAAGGCTTTAAAAACCAGTGCATTAGAATGAATATAAATTTTTCCTATGATGACAATGCCTGGATATGTCCAAGTCTTCTGGTAGAGAGTGTGTTTTAATGTCTATAGCTAGAAACTCCTGCTTTGTCCCCACTTAATTTTCAGATTAATTTGCTTTCCATAATGTTCATTATTGCATCCTATGATAGCAGTCTTACAGGTTTGCAGCTCTAATGAAATGTGTTATCCACTGCTGCAGTATGTGAATTATGGCTTTTCTGTTAAGGGAAAGACTTGGTGTGGGTATTTCTCATAAAAAACTCCTAACACTTTGTCCTGTGAAGGCGTTTGTAATTTCTTTAGGCTATTACATGTTGGTCTTGCCTTTTGTGCATTACTTATTCTGACATTACTAGGCTATGACTGGGAGGGAAGGAATCAAATGGACAGACTAGACAAATCCACTAAAAAGTAATGTACTCTGTGTGTTGAAATTGACACAAAAGTTTATTTATCCTAATCTGCAAAGGGATTCAGGGTCTTCAAGTACAAGTGTATTCTGCTGTCTGAAATACTCCACTTTTCTGCCTCAAACAGTTACAGTTTCATAAAGTTATGGGTATCCCATAGATTCCTAATCAAATCTGCCATTTAAGATCAGCCAGTCCTTTTCCTTTGGTTAGGAGCCAAAAGATTATAATGAAAATTTAAAGCATTTAACTTAGCTTCCTTATCTAATGCTTAAGTGGGCCATATCAGATGAGATTAGTGCTCCAAATGGGCTGGGTTTGCTTGTATGGTAATGCCATCCATTGCAGAAGTCTTTATTTTCTGAAGGCACCCTTTGGTATGTTTTCTTTCTGTCATACCTTCTTTTTTTAATATTTTTTAGATTTTTTTGTTTTGTCTGCCATATTGGCTTTGCACTCTGATTGTGATGTGATAACAACATGACTGAATTTGCATGCCTTGGAAAATGCACAAATCTGCAGATCAGCTGGGTGAAACATCTGATTCTTACACCTGCCTTCACATTTCACACCACTGTAGTACCTACAAGTCCACATCCTTTTCAGAAGCCTGCTAACATGCTGCCTACAATAATTAGTCAATTTGGGTGATTTACCAGTCCCATGTGTAACTTGCATTGATGCCTGCTGAGTGTGCTTTGGATTCTGGCTGTTTCCTCCTGGTGCTCGTCCAATATCTATAGCATTATCCACCAGCCTCCTGGTTGCCTTGGCTGTGCCTGGCTGAGTGTTTAGCTTCTTAGAAACACGTTCAAATTCATGGAATACTCTCTTATATTCTTGAAGGAATTGGATTCCCACTGATCTGTATGCAATTATTTGCCACTTCTATAAGCTGTGCCCTTCTGACTAGTCTGATCATCTGAAAAGTTCCTTTTTCTTGGCAAGTAAAAGAGAGAAAAGGGGATCTTTCCAGCCTGTCTCTGGACATTTGTGAGACTTACAAAAAAGGCACCTTATCTCATTGTTTATATGTTAGTTTTAAGATTATTTTGGGTTTCATTTATATTTTAAAGCAGTATGCAAGTCTCAAACTTTATAGAGACATTTTCCCCATATTTTTATGCTTGAAAAAGTGAAGTCTACACAATATCTGCACTGAGTATCTTCCTTCCTACTTGATGCACCCTTTTCAAACACATCCACAAAGCAAACTTATCTAAATTCCTGTCAAATTGTAATACAGATTATTATGATTCAGAAACTATCAGTGCAACAATAGGTTTTTTAAGCCCATGATAAATCTATATATGAAAGCTGCCATTTCCAAATAAAGGAATTTAATAGTGTTAGAAAAAGAATAAAAGAAAAATAACATGAAATTTTTTTTCCTGTTGGTGAACATTTTGGACACAAAGGGAGTTTTCATAGCAATAGTTAAACAGAATTTAGGACGCAGATCCTAGGAGATGCTTTTCACCTCTCCTAGCAACCACACCTTACCTAGATGTTGTTCCACTGATTAAAGGAGCTACTCCAGATATGCAAAATTATAGAAAGAAAGTGATATATTGAAGATAATCACCTTCAGAAAATGGGTATACTTGAAAAAATCCTGCAGCATGAGAAATAGATTTTTATAATTTGTATTCAGTAGTGGAGACAATACCAAAGCATACTGTTTTCCAACAGCAACCAGAAAGGCAGCATGAATGAGGCAAAGCCAGTTTTTCTTACAACATTTCTCATTCTCTGGAAAAAAAACCCCAGCAACTGTCACTGTACACTGCTTTTTTACCCAGACTCTTGAAATTGTCTTGTTGAATCTACCTTCTTTTATGCAAGTACAAATCTATCAAGGAGGAAAGGTAAAAAGGCCATAACCTTTCCATAAATGTCTCATTATTTTGGCTATCTGCTTTCTTACATTATAAGGATAAAACACTCTGATATCATAGCTACATCCAACTATAATATGACAAATCATTTCCCTCTTTATTGGCAGCATCTACTGCCCTCAGGTTAGTTGTTCTGAATAAAATTCCAAAATTAAATATTGCTGTTTTCTTGTTGAACAAAGCTGACTAATTTATTTCAAGTACAATTTTCTGCCACTGGCTAAGGATTCTAAATTGAAGACAGCTTGAAAAACGGATATAATAGGAAGTGATGCAAATCCTGAAAGAAAGAACACCCACACAAACAACAAACACATCCTTTTTTCTCTGCCCCTCTCTGGGATTATCTGAATATGTGGATACATATTTAAAGCACTGACCAAAGGTAATAATTATTCCAATTTCTTCTGTAATTTTGAGCAGAAAGTTCTTTCTTGAGGAAAGAAATGTCTGTTATGATCAAAGATTAAAGTAAAAAAAAATCAGAACTTTTGGATGTATTTTGTGCATTTATCTACGTTATTATTTTTATGTTAATAATCCAAATTACACCATAGCAGATTTTTTTCATTAAAAAGTTCCTAAAAATTATCTAAACAGATTGCCTAAAGAAATTACAAGTTTTGATGAAGTTTTAACTGTTTAATTAAAACAATCCCAACAAATTTCCGGAAGAGATGAATAAAATGGACATCTTCCTTAGTTTCCTAAAGAATCTTTTGAATTAATAACCTGATTTTTATAATGCAGTCCCTTGTAATGATAGAATGAGGTTTCTTATACATTCTCAACTGACTGAAATGTTTTAAGTGGTTTGTTTTATGGTACCATGTTACCTTTGATGGTTGGTAGAGGAACTTCAAGGTTTCCACGTCATTTGAAATCACTGTAAGTGGAAAGACAGAGCTTCTATTTGGAAACTTTAGATAATGCACACTGGGCATTCTATCCTTCCATCTGTTCTGATGGCCTTTAAATGTCTCCAGTGAAGGAGACTCCACACTCTCTCTCTGGGCAATCTGTTCCACTGCTTGGTCACCCACAAGATAAAGAAGTACTTCCTCATGTTCAGGTGGAACTTGCTGTGCATGAGTTTCTGCCTGTTGCTCTTGTCCTTTTGCTCAGCACCACTGAACAAAGCTCGGTCCATCCTCCCATCACCATCCCTTCAGACACTGACGGACATTGGTGATGCCTTCTCTCAGTTGTCTCTTCTCAAAGCTGGATAGGCCCACTTCTCACAGCTTTTCCTCATGAGAGGAAATAATTTTTATGGTCCTTTGGTGGACCTGCTCCAGGATCTCCATGTCCCTGTTGTAGTGAGGAGGCAAGAACCAGACACAGCACAGTGTATGTGGCCTCACAAGGGCTGAGCAGTTGGGCAGGATCACTTTCCTCAGCCTGCTGGTAATGAAGGCTCTTCCATTGGCCTTCTTGGCACAATTATGCAGAGCTAATTGTCCACCAGGACTCCTAGCTCCTTCTCTGTGGAGCTGCCTTCCAGCAGGTGCAATCTCTGCTCCTCCCCAGGTGCAAGACCCTGCATTTCCCTCCATTGAATTCCAGAAGGTTCTTCTCTGCCCAACTCTCCAGCCTGTTGAGGTCCATCTGAAGGGCTGCACATCCCTCTGGGGAATTGGCCACTCCTTCCAGCCTTGTGTCATCAGTCAACCTACTGGCAGTATCTACCCCTTCATCTAAGTTATAAGTTGAACAAGATTGGACCCAGTATCAAAACCCTTGGGGGATATCACTTGTTGCAGGTTTTCATCCAGGTCTCTGTGCCACTGATCAAAAGCCCCCTAAGCTCTGCTGTTCAGTCAGTTCTCCATCCATCTCTCCATCCCTTTGTCCAACCTTCACTTAATTACTTTGTCGATGGGGATATCATGGGAGATAGCATCAAACACCTTACTGAAGTCTGGTGAGCAACATTCCGCTGCTCTCCCCTCACCTATCCAGACAGGTTTTGGAATTCGAGTGATGCTTGTGACAGGAGAGGCTGCCTTCAGTGAATTAAGGGAAGTTTTACTATTGGAATTCAGTATTGCCCCATTTGAATTCTGCAATAAATTCTGAAATAAATTAATATATTTCATTGCATTGTTCAGGAAACATTGCTTCACTTCTGTATAATATTTATACATGGTCATGACACACATAGATGACATAAACAAATAGATGTAGTGGCCTGGATGAATAATGTTTAACAGTTTATGTTGGGGTGTACTTCATGAAAATCATGGAAATTTCAGCAGCCTAATATTGGCATGAGAGAAGAAGGATCACACAATGAGAAACTTTCAAGTATGTGAAAAATACAGGAGTGGTGCTGGAGAATGCAGAAAAATTACATTTGAAGCATTTAGATGACTGAGCAACTAAAGTTCTGCAAATTATTCCTGAAAGTAGGAAATATGTCCGCTGAGCAAGCCTGAGCTAAGACTCAGCAGCTTTTACTCTATTAGTTAGAGTAGCAGCATTCCTACTCTATAGGTGATCTTTACCTCCCCAGGTTATCACAGGGCTGGCTCACTGTAATGTATTTATTTAAATAAGCAGAACTATATTTCAGAATGTTGCTTACATACATGTAAGGAATCCTTTGTGACACAAACTTTTTGGAAGTCAGATAGCCTGTCTTGTCTTCACAGAAATATCCAAACCATGTAAATTTTTTTGCTCCTCTAGTTGGTTTCTGTACTGATACTAATGGCATTTTTGTCTTTTTTTTTCCTTTTTTATTGCAGTAAATTGTGAAAGGGAAGGTAGGATCTATGAACCATTTCAAATGGAAAATTTGTATAATGATACATGATAGGATCAAAACCATTATCAGCACTTTGAAATTAACTTACATAACTCTAATTTCATGAACTTAAATTTGAGCCCAAATATCTAGACTTGATTGGTTCAACAAGCAAATACTTTGTGCTGAGGCAAGGTAGATTCATGCTTCAATGATATATATGCTTACATTTGAACAAAGGGACATATATTCATACACATGGGTTAGAATCTCATAAAAAGGTGCTTCTGCCCAAATTAAGGTGCAAATGAGACCATATGGCAATGTCAGGAATATGGATTTTATTAAAGAATAGATGTGTGGTAGGGAGGGCAGAGAGAGGAGAGAGAAATATTAAATAGAAATGCAGTCACCACCACATGCAGGTATATATAGATATATGTACACATATATGAGTTATTGAATCTCACATAGATATATACATACATATGGACACATATATAAGATAATCTTTTTTTGACCTACCTCTTTGGAAATAAAAAACAAACCTGGGTTCTGAATGAAGTGCTTCATCTCTGTCTGTGGTGTTCTTCATTATTCAAAATGCTGCTTTTGTTTCATTAGCTTTTGTTATCTGAGAATGAACATCACTGTTTTTAACTGTAATGGATAACAAAAAAAGATGTCATGAGTTGCATAGTGCCTCTGATATAAAAAGGCAACAAATCCTATTAATATTCAGTTTTACAATTGACTTTTACCTGTCAATTGTAATGGTCTTCCTTATTGTAAACATTTACAATAATTTGATGATGAGTGATTTCACTGGAAATTTCTTTAGAATCTGAAATAAAGGATAAGGAAAATTATGATCTGATATTTGATATTTTGCAAGCAGGACCTGCTTGAGTAGTTTGGGCATTTCGCAGAATATAAAAAAGTTATATTTCAGTCTCTTACTCATTCTGTTTCTATGTTAATTACCTAATTAAAAACTTAGAGTTTTGTCTACTATATATAAAAAACCCCAATTCAATATCTTTTTACATCTGGGACCTCTGAAATAGGTAATGCAATGAGAAATTTCATCATGGGATTTATGGGAGGTTCAGCCACTTAAATAAAAAAATGATAATCAATGGAATGAAATAACCAATATGAAGGTAAAATCAATCTGACCTATTTTAAAACTCTATTTGCAAGTAAAACCAACTATATTTTAGATGAGCAATCCCTCAGATGAAGAGAGCAACACTCAGACAGACGAATCCTAGCAGCGGGATTACCTAATGTCCAACAGATATTAGGTGACAATCACTGTAAAACATTACTCTAAATGCATCAAGAAGTAACTTTTAAGCACATTTAACTTTATTTTAAAAAAATGCTATTTTGATTTGGTCTGAAGTTCTAAAATGACTGCTGTTCTCAACACTAAGTGCAATTACCATTTGGAGTGTTAAGTTCCATATTAATCTTGAATTAACAAGAACCATGAGATGGTGTCAATTTGTACACTTTTTTTGTTTTATTTGTTAGAAAAGGTTCTAATTAGGGCATGAAAAATAGAATAGGGGAGAAGTTTTGGGTTAACAATTTACTCAGATACAACATAACCATTTTGAAATCATAGACATATAATTGTTATAGAGAACCAGGATGAACATTGAAGGAGGTCAAAAATCTACCAATTTTGTGCAACTGTAGATAGCAAGTACTAATTCTATTTTAATTGCATTTATATGATTTATTATTTTTGGTTCTTAGAATTCAGTATTTCTAACCAGTCTGATGGGGCTGCTTTTGTTTTGTTTTGGTTTTGTTTATTTATTTATTCTATTGATTGGTTGAGGTTGGTTTGTTTGTTTGTTTGTTTGTTTGTTTGTGTTGGATGGTTGGTTGGTTGGTTGGTTTTTTAAGAAGGCAAAAGGAATTTTGCCAGGATTAGTGATCAATTTAGAAAAAGCTTCTCTTTTGGTTCCTCTTGAGGAAAACACCATATTAGTTCTCGCCTCTTTCCACCTTCCAAATCTCCCTGGAAATAGAAAAAAAACCCACTGTAGAGATGATATCCTGTAGAATTCTTTTTAACACAACACTCATTTGGAAAGAAGTAGGAATATTCCTGGTTCACTGAATCTAGAGTTCTGTAGATCTACAGTTACTGAATGCCTCCTAGATTTTTTTGTCTCTCAGAGGAGTTGGTTGTATTTGCTGAAAGAATTTCACCCACAAAAGACATTGGCAGACAGCAGGTTCCCTTGTTGACCTGTGACAAGTCTGGCAGGAAGCTCTGTGTGCCTAAAGAGACCAGATGAGCTCTTCTCTGAGTCCTGTACCTCTGTGGAGATAGTGAGTCTGTCCCTGCTCACTTCAATGCAGTTCACCAAGAATCACAGCAGACAGAGCTAAAATCTGTTACAATCTCGAGGGAAAAATCACAACAGAAAACACAAGTAGATTATATTAAAACACAACACATAGAATAAGTAACTTCCTCTTTTTTTTAGACAGTGTCACTAGCTATCATCACTGACAGTTCAATCTATCTCAGATTTGAACTATATATACATCATATAATTTTAGAATTAGGCCTTAGGAGAGGCATGGAAATAATATCAACAGTTCAGGAAAGTTTACTTTCAAATGCTCCAGTGATTTCTTCAGGGCTCAAAACCCACTGTATTTAGTATTTAGACTTTTAACTCACTCTTGGTTAATGGAAGGAAGAAAAGGATCCTTCACCAGCTGGAAAGGTGGAAGTTAATAAATGCTGGGAACTCCTAGAGGAACAAAGATGAAACTGGAAAATAGGGAACAAAGGTGATGTGGGAACTTGTCAGAGGTCATACAATAATTTTAATGTTGCACACCATGGGCCCGTTTGGAAGCACAGACTGAAATTTTGGGCAGTGGGTAGCCCATGAGGAAATCTGGCACATGTCTGTCAAAACAAGAGTGAGGAAAAGGATAAATTTCTTTCTTTAGACTTTTCTAGTTAAGAGTAACAAGGGACTGAAGTGTCCTTAAGCTCTGAGGTGTTCCCAGGCTGTTACATTCCTTCTTTTGATTTTAGGCTAACAGTTGGGCCAAAGAGAAAAGCCAACCTGCTCACTTCTTAGAACTAAGCTTTCTTTAGATAAACTCCACATTCAGCTGAGTCCAGCACACTTCATGAACACTCATTCCCAGCATTGAAAAACTTTGGGATTCACCACCAACCTTTAACTTATATGGAGCACACCCAGCCGTACATTATCAGACAGAAAGGTGTTCCAATGTATCTGAGCTCTCCAGCTCCCTCCAGCAAAAATGAGCAATGAAGAACTCAGCTTGCATTCATGCTATGGCACTGCTGATTTCTATCTCCTGCAGCAAAACTCTGGAATGAACTGGACTTGCTTTCATGTAGAAGTGCTAACTTGTTGATAGCACCACAGCTATATTTAAAGCTCTTTTCCTGAGGCAGATTTGCTTTATTGTTGACAGTAAAATAGATGGGCTATAAAAAGAGATTTTTGTTTTCAAACAGTTGGGAAATAATGCAAGGACCACAAAACAGATTCAATATTCTTTAGACTTCTTTAAAATGAGCAAAACTGAAAATATGCTATTGGTGCCCAAAGCAATTTTTAAAATGCTGAAAGTCCTGGCATTGGAGGCAATGTCTTTTTCCCACAAAGCAATAGATTTTTTCATGGTTTCATAGCAAAATGTGCAGTGCCCACTCTGTTCTCCTCCAAACAGAGATTAAAATACTCTTCAAATCAGATTTTTTTCCAAGAAGGTCACTTGTAAAATGAAAGCAACAATTTTTCTTGAAACACTATTAATTTAGAAAATGTCTTTGTGATAATTATTACTTGCAAACTTGGCTGTAAAATTAACTATGCAGGGAGCTGGTCATAGGAAAGGATTCTTCCCTTCCACTGGGTGCTGGTTAGTATGAAGAAGATGAAGCCAGACTCTTCTCAGAGCTCAGCAGTCAGAAATGAGAAATAGATAACATTCACAAGCTGAGGAAAAGGAAATTCTAACTGAATAAAGGGGAAATAAAAAGCAAGCTAAACCAACAAACCCAACAAAAGCACATAAAATAGTTTTTCTCTACAAAACTCTACAGAAGCCTCATCTAATGTGGAAGTTAACTCTGTGAGTGTGAGGTTGGACTGGAGTGCTCCAGCAGTCCTTTGCTCTGTGAATCATTTTATCAGTTTACAATAGCTTCATAAACCATGCTTTAAACCAGCATTATGTCTGTGAAATGCCATTTTTCCTTTCCCTGAACTTCATCTCTCCCTTCATGGTGACATAAGGCGTGCGCTGATTCAGGCTGGGTGACTAACCCAAAATCCAGGCACTGGGGTGGGGCAGGGAAGGGTGAGGTTACAGGGGGCAGGATCGTTTCTGCCAACGAGCTCATTAGGCAGCTGCACAAACATTACGGCTACAGGAGATAAAGTCAGGGACACTGTGTGGGAAGCAATGAGCAGGAATTTGGAGAGAGCTCTTTCACCACCAGTGCCTGTTTACGGCTTTTTTAAGCTTTGGTGATTAGTTACAGGTAACAATATTTTCAGCTAGACTGGTGCTGAGGATGGTGTAATTTTCTTTAGGGGAACATCTCATCAGAAAGAGTTTAAAGCAGCAATCTGCTTCAACTGTTTATTAAAAACTCCACAGTGTTTTTCATAACCACTGAGCTGGTTGAATTCCTCCCGGGTAATTGCTTGATGTTCCCTGCTGCAACTGCCTACAATTAATGTATTCTTTTCTTTCCCTAATGACAACAAGACTTGGAATATCTGATCACAGGCTTTGTAAATAAGGGGTTATTTAAAAAACCAAAATTGTTAAATAACAGAAAAAAAAAATCCAAGTCAGGTTGTTTATTTTGCACATTCTTTTTCTGAAAGGATGATGGTTTTATGGTAAATGACTTAGGAAAACTCAGTAATTTTATTTTTTTGGTCAATGCCAAAAAAAATTGCACCAGTTTTGTCATTTGACAGCAGAGGATTTAATTCTGCCTTTACTAGTGCCTGTTTTCAAAGCATAACAAACAGCTTTCAAAATCAGAAAGCACAGTACTCAGTGGGGTAGCAGACTTGCCTTATGTTTCTTGAAGCATTCTTGATATAAAAAAATTCTCCTTTGCTGGAGCTTATATGTCACATGGAAAAAGGCAGTAAATTCAGCATGAAGCTTGAAAGCTCGTTATCTTGTTGCCTCTATGTGCTTCTCTGAGATAGTTTACAAAAGTAATGAAGATTACCAATGTACATTTAGTTGTCCTTACTCTCTTTAACTGTAGTTGTCTCACCTTTCTGATTGGAAGTACTGCTTACAATTACTTATATTTCTGTGAAAATAATGATTCTAAACATATAATACTGGTCTCACTATCTACTATAATAGTAGTCTCACTATCCTTTCTAAATGTTAGGGGTTTGGTAAATACCACTAGCATTATTATTATTAAGGGATAAACCCAAAAATTTTACAAAGAAGAGGTAGTGGAAGCTGTTGAAAGTATTTATCACAAAAGGTCTGAGACAGAAATTTTGATTTTTTTACTGGAAATTGTGACTATTAGCTTACAGTATGATGGACATCTCAGGCTAAGCTCTAACGTAGAGGTTGTTTATGTTGTGCTACTGAACTGTATTGTATGGATTTTATTTTGAAATTGGAAGTTGAGTGCTTTGCACGGGATAACTAGAGCCTTGTGAGCCATTTCAGTAGCTAGTTTGCAGTCTCCCACATCAATATGATGGTCCTTGATAAGAATCATGGACTTAAAATTCTACATTCTTTCCTGCAGCCAAACTATGGTGGGAATGAGGAATGAAAATGCCCAGAGAAGTTAAATTGGTGCTCATCTGAATTATGATGTATACATATGCTCAAATTTCAGACATGAAGATGGTGAAATGTGTAGATTTGGCTGGTAAATAAAGCTTCTCTCTCTTTGGAAGAGCTACCAACAGAGAGACCTTGTGACTTCAACACTGAGTGGAACATGAGTACAACAGCACTCAGAGACTTGTGGTTCAGCAAAGGATCCACAAAGTTTTGCTTTTGAAACCTCATGCAAGGGAGCTTGTGGTGCATGTGGTAAGGAGAGGGTAAAATTGGACATCAAAGACAAAACAAATAAAATAACTTCAAAGATAAAAGATGGTCTTCAGCTTCTTTGGGCATGAAATCCTGTATTTCACAATGATAATCACAACAGAGAAATAATTAACACTACCACCAATCAATAAATCTATTTAAATTCATATGAGTATGAACATGTCATATTTTCCAAATCAGGTAGATAACTTGATCCTGCTCTCAGGGAAGAAACACAGGTCAATTTTACATGATTGAATCCAGATATCATACTTTGAATTTGAGAAAATTGGCCCATAGATTTTAGCAAAACATTTCCTTCCTATAGTGGATCATAGTCTGAATTGATCTTTAGTGATTTTATTAATGTTCCTGAGCTAATCTATATTGCTACCTCAATATTTGCATATTTAAATATTTCTGCCCTTATTTTTATGCTTATGTACTCAGTGATTTCTTACTTTCATTGGGAACTCAGTAAAAATCTGTTCAAATCACTAAATACTGTCAAATGCTAATGAGAACTACTGAATCAGACTTTGAATCTTATTTTTTTTCCACACTACTCAATCATTTAATATTTTGCATGTCCTTTAATCAGTTAAAATTATTTCTGAGATTTTATACAGCTGGTAATATTTTTTTTCTGACCTAGAATTAAGAGACTTATATTCTGTGAGAAAATATACATCACAGACTGTTTTTTGTGACAGATGCAGAAAAAATTTGTTGGGCATAAGATTTCTCACAAATAGCACTGAAATTGCAATCTGACACTGGTTTTTCTATGTGTTGAGGAAAGAGGAGGTTGATCTGGTGCTTTACTGTTCTTTGCAAGGTTGTCTCTGGTTTTGCTGAGTGTCTCAGCTGGTGTGGTATCTAACCATGGGCAGGCACCAGCTTGGCAAATCATTCTTTATGAGTATTACCCAAAGGGACAGTGCATTTTCTTGGGTTTGAGCCAATTCCAAGCAGATATCCAGTAGTCATATTGTATCTCTTTAGGGTATCTGAAAAAGCAATGCTGTAGAGTTTTTAAATATTCTTTACTTCATCAAGACTCCTTTTGCGGTGGCTCTTGGAAGGAAAGTATCTTTCTTCAGTTCATGTACACCTAAACTGGAGGTTTAATAAATCTGTATATCAGATTTTTATTCAATCTTCTCTCTTACAGTATGAAATTCTTTCTGAATAAGTTAAGAATCCAGGAAAATATATGTTCTGGTTTCCTAAATCTTTGTCTTTAGTTTAACCCCCCCACCAGCACCCCTTATTCTCTGTTCTAAATTCACTGAATTGTAAAGAAAGGCTGTGCAATTTCGTCAGGTATTGGCATCATATTCATGAATGATGATTGCAAAGGCAATGCTATTCTTTATTACAAATTAATAATGAATACATAACAGTAATAGCTTGGGTTCTTTTCCATGTCCCAGGTATTTTACATTTCAAAACTCACCAGACATATTTTTAATAACATGCAAAGAATCTACGCTGCACTTTCTGTTTGTGAAGTCTTGTAAAACCCTACTTCTAATTCCCATATGCACAGCTTTAATTTTTAAATGTAAATTATGAGCAAGACTTCAACAGTCATCTTCAAAAGAGCAGTATTAAATCTCAGAGATTCTTGACAAAATCATGAGAGTTGGCCTCAGTGCATAAATTCTATGAAGTATTAACTCTCAAAACAAGAGACAGCTTTTTCAGTTGCCAGAAAGTAAATCTACAGGAGATATCAGAGCATTAGCTCACTATGAGATACTCCTTTGTATTCATTATTGCAAAGATTCAGCTATTTATCTAAGTTCCACTGAATGCATACTGCCCAGAGCAGAAAAGGATTTTCAATTAGTTACAAAATAGTTGAGTTTCTTTTTATCTACAGATAGATGGTGTATGCTTCAGTGACTTCAGAAAATGGAGAGAGTTTCTAAGCCAGACAGATATAAACACCAACCTATCTTTGTTTTCTTATTCACCTTTTCTGGTGCACATCATTTTAAAAAAACTTTCATCGGTAAAGTTTTCCAGTTTCAGGTGGAATTGATATCAAGTCCAGGTGAAGGCCAAGAAATCATAGCCTCAAACCCCCTCATTTGGGACACCCTCAGAGTCCAAGATGGGATTGCCTCTTTTCTGTGTGGTGCCAGGGAAAGGTCCCAGCCTCTGAGAGCAATCAGCCTCTGACTTTTTATTTCTCTAAAAAGTCCTGAAAAATATTTTAGGTGATAATATTGAAAATTTTCAGTCTTGCACTATAAATCATCTCTGCTGCAAATCTATCATATTCTCCTATGACTGATTATTAGGCCCTTTTATTTTACTAAAATCCATTATTCCCAGGTCACCTTTATTTGTGACAGGACTTCTACTATCTCTCCCATTTCTCATGGAAGTTCAGAAACTCAGAAACATGTGTGGCATTTTCACCTCTACAGAATATTGTGACCTCTTCTGTAGCATCATTTTTCCACCTTGAATGTGGACTTAAAATGATGACTTTTGCCATTGCTTTTTACTTTACATATAATTCCAGTTAGCTGGAATTAACTGTTAACAGGTTTCTTTCCAATTCATGAACACTCTTAATAGAAACACATTTTCCCTTTCTCATTTTTTTTCCATCATTTCAGTCTTCATCACAAATCTGAGTGGATTTGCATAAGTGCTGTACTGTCCCTGTACTTTTCCTTCTGCTCTAGGTTTTTATATAATATTTTTTATTCAAACATATCTCTGTGGAGCTTAGCCATACACATCAGTTCAACAGTGCAATGAAATAGCAACTTTAGGATGTCTGTTAGAGCAGCTTGAGGGAACCAGCATTGCATGAAATAAAGAATAATGGCATTGCTGAGTGCTGAATGAGAGGGAAAATGTAAAGTATGCATTCCAACAAAATGCAGGTACATTAGTCTGTAAAGATTTCTGGTGCAAGGTTAAAAACTCAAAAGAAAAAAAAAAAGGCATTTAATAGAAAACTCCAGGCAAGAGGCAAAAGGTAAATTGATATTTCTCCAGACTGGCAACTTTAGGAACTATGCCCATATTACTGTAAGATGCTTTCAAGCATCAGTCCTCCACAGACTATAGAACTCTGAATAATACTATGGAATGCTCTGCAGACCATTTCTGTTCTTCCCTCCTGAGCAAAATTTGGATTAACAAGTGTTTTTATTTAGTTTTGACTGAGCTGATTCCATATTAATCCTGATTAAGGGAAAGGATCATCTTCCATTGCTCTGTTGGGCAGATTGTGCAGGTAGTAGAATCCCAGTAGAGACTACAAGCATTCATTCTTATGCAAAAATTTCCTAGGTTCTCTACAGCCAGCCCCAAAATGCTCTGATGGTCCTGGAAGACAGATTAGGTTTTCTTTCCTATGTTAGTAACAATGAGCTTTGTTAGAATTATCACAGCTCTTACTGTCACACAGAATAGGCAACGTCTCTTACACTTAGTAGTCCTATTAGCAACAATAATTCCAGTAATCATTTTTATATAATGCAAAACAAAGAGCATCTCAACAGTGAGCTGCTACCACTGCACCAGGAAATGTAAGTATGCAAAAGGAAATCTATTAATATAAGAGCATACCTGTCTTCCACATGAACAGTCAGTGCAGAAGCTTTTGCTCTGGTGCCCAAGCTGTGCAGCACACACGGCTGTGCTCTCCAGTGTGTAGCTCCAGGGAGGTATGAGCAAGACTTTCAGCATATTTCACTGAAAGTGCCTCAGAGCTGCAGTATAAATCTGAGGGGGAATCTGGAAATCATGATGTGAGGAGTGAACAGGCTTGTTCTTACCAAAAATTTTCATCTCCAGCTATCATGATAGTGTGCCTACTAGGTTTATAGCACAAAAGAGTGCTAACATATTGTGTTAGGTTTGGTATGTGTATGGATGTATTTGTGTATACAAATGCCATCTTCCACCTCCTTCCCAAAGAAAGCCTTATTAAGTTACATATGCCACCATGTGTTAAGTAATTTTTTTGTGGGCTATAAATGACTTGGCCAAGCTGTGAAATGAAACAGCTTGTTCCACTGCACTAACAGTGCAGGCTCAGTGCTTATTGTCTGTGCAGTAAATGTTCGATGAGTCACTCTCCAAACGAAGCCACATCATATGTGCTTCTTACACCAAGTCCTTTTCACTCTGTCTTCATCCTTGTGATAGGACAGCTTTGGACAAAGAGAAAATATCAAAATATACTATTGTTTGCACTTTTAAGTCAGAAAACAGTGGTTTGTTTTTTTGTGGTTTTTTTTAGGTTGATTACGGCTTTTAAAAACTTCAATCTGTCCAGTAAAACTAAGCCTGTATTAGATTACCAGATGTTTAGGTAACATCTACTCCTGAAGTTAGAATTTTATCTTTGAACTAGTTTTCTATTTATTTTTTCTAATGAAATCAATTCTCCTAAGACATGCATCTAATTTTATCCATCAGCCTTTGAAGTTTTTTTGTTTTGTTTTTTTTTTTTTTGTTTTTTTTTGTTTTTGTTTTTGTTTTTGTTTTGTTTTTGTTTTTTTGTTGTTGTTGTTCTTGTTGTTTTCATTAGACTATAGGTCCAAAACATTACAAGGAGTAAAAAATCACTGCTTAAACAGCTCTCTGCCAAAGCAAATAGGGAATTTCCTAGGTATTCCTATTATGCAACACATTCTTGGGTTTACATTCAAATGCAACATGACTGTTTTTGCTTCTTCCTAACCCACAAGTTCAGCAGACATGATTTAATAAACTTTGTTTTCATGTCATTCTTCCCACTTCTGAGTGGTCAGCAGGTTTCCTAACAGAAAACTAGTTTTTGCAAATGCAACCTGCAAACATTTTCTTTTAGTTGTTTTCAGTTTTAGCTGGTTTTATTTAGGAAATACATTGTTCTTACAACATCTTCTAAGCACTCCGTGTGTTTTAACATTAGGTTGGTGAATATTTTTTTACATCCCAAGTACAAAATATTCTGTTCAATTTACTTGTCTCTCTTTGGATTCCCAAAAGTGAATACAATAAATGCAAAATCCACTTGGTAATCTAGTCTTTCCTGTCTGGATATTATGCTACATGAGACTTCTGAATTGTATTTGTATTTATTTTATCCTCTTCATTATATCTTTAAGGACATTTCCCATTATCTCTTGCTACCATCCACGTGACTCATTTTTCTCCCCTTAAAGTGCTTATATTATTTCTATTGTTCTTCCATTGTATTTTAACATAAGACAAATGGACTTTAATCCATTTCCTAGAATTTCTAGCATTTCAAGCCAGAATGTCTAATTTCTCAAAATCAAGCTGACACAATTAATAAATAAATCTGTTGTGATATTCAACTTCATATGTATATTCAGAATGAGCAGGTGTAAAATTTTTCATTATTTTGACACAGAAAGTGAAGGCTGTCTCAGAAGGGATTTTGTCATTTGTTGTTGAACTCTCAAAATCTTGCATATCAAAACTAAGAAAATATAAAAGATGTCTTTATCACGAGAGAGGGAAAGTAGCTTAAAATCTATAATTTTTTATTGAGAACCTAAGCAAATCTAGCAAAATCCTCCCTGTTTTTGTATAGGTGAG